GCGCCCTTCTGAGTTATCACAGGCAACAGTTTTGCGAAATGTTTTGCACTTCACAATGAGTCTCAGCCTCTCAAGCCTCCGAGAGTTTCATCGTCACCCACCCCCCAGCCATAATCAATGCCATGTATTTTGGGTTTTCTGATAACACCCTCCCACTTCGGCGGACTTACTTCACGTTGCTTAGGGTCAGCCACGGAGGCAAGCAGATTCTAAATGCCCAATGGCTGAAACAGTCTTGCTCATGGAACTCTGCCAGCAGGTTCCATGTCAGTGGGGGAGCCCACTCCACAGTCATTCAGGGACCCAGGCTGGCAGGGGATCTGTCATGTCCGGGGCACCGGGTCTTCTCCATCAGGTCAGCGGAAGGGCAAGAGCAGAGCAGATTGCTAAGAATGGTTTTCTTAAGGCCAAGTCTGAAAGTGTTGGGTCTCTTCAGCTTTCGGTCCATTGACTAAAATTGGGTCCCCTGGTCACACCTAACTAACTTCAAGAGGGTGGGAGATGTAACTGAGCTGTGTGTCCAAGTAGAAGAGGAAAATGGGATCTGGGCCAACCAACTTGTCCCCGTTTGCCTGGGACTTTCCTGGTGTGAGCACCGGAAGTCCCACTTCCTGGGAAACCCCAAAGGCCCGGGCAAACCGGTCCAACTGATCACCCTAACGCCTCCCTCACATCTTCTCTCTCCTCACGGAGAGAAACTGTCTCCTGTTTGCGTGGCCCCCTCGTCTGCAGTGACTACAGACTACAGATGAGGGCATGAACTCAGTGTACTTGAGACAATTGGGAAGATTATTTTATTTTTTTAAAATTTTATTTATTTATTTGAGAGAGAGAGAAAGAAAGAGAGAGAGAGAATGAGCAGGGAGAGGGGCAGAGGGAGAGGGAGAAGCAGGCTCCCCGCCAAGCAGGGAGTCCGATGCAGGGCTCGATCTCAGGACCCTGGGTTCATGACCTGAGCCGAAGGCAGACTCTTAACTGACTGAGCCACCCAGGCGCCCAGGGAAGATTATTTTAATTGAAATATCGGTCATTCCTGGAAATTTGGAGCATGTGTGGTGTAACCTTGTAGCACACACATCTGCAAAACACTGTCTTTGTCCCTAGATGAGTCAGTTCTAAAATGCGGTTATTATTGAGGGAGTTACACTACCACGAGCAAATGCCACTGATTTAACTAGAGTTCTTGGAAATATTTTTGCCAAAAGGCTGATCTGAGAAGGAATACAGAAGGAATTATTCAGGCATTATATTGCATAAGGCAAAGTTCACCAGAAAACAAAGTACCTCATTTATTTTAAAAGAAGCTAGTGGGCTGTCCTTGAAGGCAAGGACTGTGGCTCACTCTCTCTACTATCTCTGGCCTTGTAGAAGGTCTTCAGGGAATGTTCTCCGAAGCAATTTACACAGAGCATACTAGATAGCCTCTGCTCGGTTTCTCTAATCGGAAAGAAGAAGCTTTTTTTGTTTTGTTTCGCGCTGGAGGATGAGCTTCTATTGGCAACAGGAGTCTGGCTCTTGAGACAGACACAGAAAGGGAGTGGAAACTCATGGCCCGTGGGCCACATCAGCACAGTAGGTGTGCTTTCGTTTGGTCTGTAGTGTCCAAAAATCAGGAAATTTCAGACAGAGCCTGGACTTCTGGGTCTTGAAAAATTGGAAGACCTGGCAACACAGTGTTTGAGTCCCGATATGGCAACAACTGGTCAGAGCTAAGGAGCAGCCGTCCCCCTTAGACGGAGCACGGACTCTGCAACTGTCATGGTCACTATCATGTCCTACTGTCTTACCTTCACTTCAGTCAAGAAACTTCTGTCGTATCCTATAGACATCTGAGTCTAAAACACCCGAATTAAAGTATAGATGTATATTGTAATGTTATAGCAACTTCACTCATTTTAAAATGGCCACTGAACCTTCCATAGCAGTTGATAAAGCCTGATTGCTAGCAAATCGCGGTGACTTTGAGCCCGACTGGCATTCCATGGCACTGTTCTACATAGGGGTTTTTTTAATAAGAAAATTAATAACTATGTATTATATCTACATATATCTCCTACCTGCAATTGTGTATTTACTTCCACCAATATTATTTTCAAACATGAACAATTCCCAACTAATCCCTCCTCTAACTCACATAAATAAAACAACTGCCTTGAGGTATTATTTCTGAGATAAAGAAATGGTGCATTTCTGTCCATATTCCAAATGGTCTTTTTACAATTTTATTTTTAAGTAATCTCTACACCCAACAAGGGCTCGGACCCACGACCCCAAGACCAAGAATCACACACTCCACCAACTGAGCCAGCCAGGCACCCCCTAAATGGCATTTTTAATGTGTGCTTTTGTAATAAAATTTTAACAGTCACCACTATTATTAAATGCTAAGTCAAAAAAGTTATTAGAAAATAAAACTGCCACAGCTTTATTCCTGCAACAAATACAAAATTAAAATATATAAACGAAAGAACGAGTGGCTCAGAAATAGAAAGGCTAGCATTCCTTGAGCACTTGCTCAGATTCCACCTCTGTGCTTACTGCTTTCCAGCATTATCCTTCCAAAAACCCTGTGGAGAGAACATGTCCCATTTGGAGCATGAGGTAACAGAGAAGAGCCCAAGGTCACTTAGCTAGTAGCCAGCAGAGTTACAATTAAAACCAAATGAATTCTAGCTTAATAAATTAAATGAACAAACAAAAACAGCGTGCCACCCCCAACCCCCAAAGTTAGAATAAAGGAGGGTCATCTCAAAAAGCAGAGGGTTGTAGCATCTCAGAGCAGAACTGACTCTTTGCGACCCGATCCAACTCCTTATTTTACGGATACGAAGGCGGGTCTGGGAGGTCCCGTCTCGTGCCCACAGCCTCGGGGCTGCGGGGCCCGGCCTGCCCGCGCGAGCCCCCACACTCGGCCCGGGTCCTTCTCCGCACGCCGCACGTGCAGTGAGAGGCGGCTGGCCACGCTGCTCCCGCGGGGGCAATGGCGGCCAAGGGGGGTGAACCCCCTCCTCTCTGCCTCCGTGTCTAACCCTTGCGCCCGACATCGCTGCTGGAATGGATTCGCAGGGGACGGCTACGCACTCGTGTCGTCAGACTCCCTCCTAGCAGCTGCCCCTGCTTGTACGTAACAGCAAGGTCCGAGTCGTGTCTACGGACGTGCACGTTCATTTTTGATTTCAGTTACAATGAACTTTTATCCGTTTCTTGTGTAAATTTTTAAAATTGATTCTGCTGTGGCATATTCATCACATAGTGACAAATAAATGTTTTTAAAGTATGTAAAAAATAGCACAGAACTACTGATAAACATTGTTAATTTGAGACAGAAAGCAGTCATTAAAAATCACGTAAAATTCCTTCTGTGTCTCCTTCCCTGGAACAACGGTCTCTCCTGCTGCACCTGCTGAGGTTGTGAACAGCCAGTGCTGGTCCAACATTCCATTCCTCTTAAAAATCTTTCCTGCTCCACCGAACGTAAGTGTGATATCATCAATTAAATAATAACCCACAGGCCAACAAAGGCCTGGAAGCAAATAGGAAAATGCCTTTTTAAATTACCTTAAACAGCCTGAAATGTCACTCACTTAAAACATGTTTAGTAATTACTAAAACAAACATGAATGGAAAAACATCTTTTGATTTTAATAATTCATGATTTCACATACAATATTCAGCTCCCAAAGTGTCATGGGAGTCTCACGTTTTTAATCATAAATCCAAAATTCCATTAAATAATGGAGGAGGAAGTTCTCCACTATCTTAACAGTACATTGACATGAAACTTCCCAAATCTTCTGCAATTACCACCTTTGATGTTGAGGATCTTCATTGAAAGCAAACGATGAAATGGCGAAAGATTTTGACTCATTATGGTTTTCTTTTTAAAGGAAATGTAATTACTATGTAAGTACCTCCTTATTTTTAAGCCAAAGTTATATAACCTTCAAAGTAAAATGACAAAGGCTTTTTTAAGTCCTCTCCAAATTCCTCAAACCATCTTCATGGCAATTGCCACCAGGCTGTGGCAGTCTGTAGTTTACGACTTCAACAAGAGCTCTGTGTCCCCAAACCCGTCACGTTGAGCTCCGTAACACATGCGCACTGTCCACTTCTTCTCAGGAAGCGCCAATGTTCCATTCACCTATCAATCTACCAGCTCTACAACAGAAAAATGAAGGAGTCAAAGTTAAGTCCTCGTCCTGCTAGGGTTTAAGTTAGCTTTGGAGCTCAAAAATGCCCCAACTCCCATTGGGTGGAAGGGGTGTTGCTGAGGTCCTAGGGCACATTAGAGCTGATAAATCCACCCTGTTCACACTGCTTGCTGATATGGCCCCCAGAACATGTCAGGCTCACATCTCAGATGCCAATTTGCCTTATGATTCCATTATGCTTTTAATTTCAACCTAAGGAATCAACTGGGATGGACTGCCTGCCTTGCTCGTCTGGTCCCACCTCAAATCCAGTAGAGGAAACACCTGGAATCATCTTGTCTTTTGCTTGGACATTTCCAGAAGCTGGAAACTCAATCCATGCTAGGAAAGACATCCCAATCCAGGGTGACAGTTTCTAAAGTGGAAATCAGCCTAACTTCCATCTTTCGATTCTAGAGCTGTTAATTGGGATTATACACAGAGTTAAGGCTCATTACCCTCCCAGCTGGTAAACATTTGAAAATTAAGGCTTCCATGGACACCTAGAACTTCAAAGCCACAGAACTGAGAGATTTCTCTTTCAATGGCCCACATCGGCCCTGAGAGGTGAAGCCACTTGTCCAGGTGATACCGGGCTGAAGAAATAAGCTCTCATCTCCTTCACTACGTCTCTCCTTCCCTTACTGGCTTGAAATAATGCAATGTCTATCCGTAGTTCAAACCACTAGCACCTCTTCTTTGTCCACACTTCACTCCCCTTCAAGATTTTGCTAGTCAAACTGTTTTAACTTTACCTGGAAATAGTTGCGAAGTGACTGTAGTAATGTTAATACTCTAACATGAAAACACTTGTTTATCAACATTTTATATGCTTTATTGAAAGTTGACAAGTGCAAGAGTTAAATACAGTGACACCTTACAACTGTGTAGAGAACATGCACAGAAACGTATGCATAGAACTACTATACAGGTAATATGCAGAAACCCCTACTGCGAAATTCATTTCATTAGCTAGAACGGATCATTTTTCAAAGTATTCAACCAGCTCAATCAAAAGACTTCAGTGAACAGGAATTTACTTCAAGATATTCAGCAACTAGAAGATTTCAGATTACACAAAGTGACTGACGGTGCCAAATTCTTAAAATTTCTTTAGGTGTGGTTTTCTTCGTGTTGCATTTTTTTAGGTAGATCTCTATATAAAAGACAATCCACACCTCTTCAGACAGCCAATGAAACATCTAAATTTCAATATGTACAACCTAAATAGTAGTTACAGTCCTCTATTGTACAAAATAGTTACACTACATACACAAATATACAATAAGCAAAACAACCTTCATGTAAGAGAGCCTAGGTCCCAGCTACCTGTCACCGTTTTAGTCAGAGTTTTGTGTCATCCACTGTTTCCAGAAAGAGGCACAGTACTATTGTTTTATGGATTTTTGGTGACAGTCGTCAGTTGGTACGATGAACTACATTTCCCCTCATCTTAGGTGAGACTACGTGTCAGTCTTTACTTTGACCTCCCTTTTAAGGTCCTCCTGGGGGAGAAGAGGAGAGAGGAAAGTCCAGTGGAGCCCCACTGCTTCAAACCCCGTGGAGTACACTACGTGCAAGCAGGAGAGAACTCTTGGGAGCGGGGATGGGGAGCAGGGAAGGGATGGAAAGGCACACAGCTCCTCGGCATGAATGAAACCACTTCGCACATATCTGCCAAGCTGCACGGGGTCCCAGTATAACCATGCTAATTCTCTGATTAACCTTTAATTCACCCAACTAAGAAATGTCTTCAAGCCAAAAGCATATGAGTGTTTAATACTGGAAAAAAGAGACAATGGCGTATGTCAGTCTCACTTCTCTTTTGCAGCGAGCAGTGAAATGGGCGACTGTGGAGGCGGAGGCCCCTGGTACAGCTCTGGTCTGTTCAGTTCAGACAGCAGCAGCCAGTTCTGCGGGGGCCTAGGCAGCTACGCCGTCGGTCCTGCACCCTGCGACGCTGGCTGGGCCGGGGGCTGTGTGGTCCCCTGTGGCTGTGTGGTGGCAGGGGGGGAGCCAGTCTGCAGCTGGGCCTGAAACTGGGCAAGCTGCTCGGGACTGGCCAGTGTCTTCAGCAGATTGTTTTCCTGCTCCAGCTGGGAATTTTTCTCTATTAGTTCTTTGATTTGCTCTTTGAGGACCTCCACTTCCTCTCTAACCGCATACATCAAATGGCTTTTCACCAGATCCTGAAAGGCAGACGGAAAAAGAGGTTTAACTTATTATTTCCCAGATTCTGAATTTCTAAAGTATTATTTTGTAAGATTCTCCCTAACTGTTAACATACCCTGCCTTTAGCTTATTTAACCCGCCCTTGGAGCCATCTACTGAACACAACCACAACCGTACAAAATACTTAAGTTTAATGTATAAGGGGATCGGGCTTTTTTTAAAAGCCTATGCATTTTTCGGCGGCCGTTAGTCAGGGCCGCACACACTCGCGTTTGCCACTCCAGAAGGCGGGGCAGGAGCCTGGCGGCCGGGACGTCCAGGCCCGCAGCAACGGTAGCCGCCTCCCCGCCCCCAAGTCCCTCCCTCCGCCCCCCGGACCGCCTCCCTCAGCACCGGCTGCAGCCAGTTCCTACAGAGCATGTTGCCGCATTTTCCTCCC